AAAGTGACACATTTTCAGTGTCCCTTTTTAGTGTGTTGAGATAGTGGGGTCTTTAAATATTCACCCCCCAACAAAGTAAGGTTGACTTATAAAAATTGGCTTTCACATGTAATAGTAGAAAGGTTCTATTCAGATATGAAATCAGAATGGCTGTATGATTTTTTTTTTTAGAGAATGAAAAAAAAAAGTCAATGTAGACACCATAGATCTACATCATTGTGATATTTTGAGAAAGTGTTATGTGCTGGCAATGTCCGCAAGACTTTGGAATGCAGGTAGATGGTAGAGGATTATGATAGAGACTTTTTCTTATACCTTATTTTGTTGATACCAAGATAGGGAAAGCTGAAGAAAACGAAAAATGCAGATATCTCGAAACACCACTTTTAGGTATTGTGGAATTCCTCACAGGTACAATTTTTTAGAATGTATTATGGCTCTCTTTGTTGAAAAAGAAAACAGCTACAACTTATTGGAGAGGGTTTTTGCAATTTTTGCCTGTGCTTCTTTCTTGTCTTAAGTGAAAACATAAAATTTTCCACTTTTTTGGTTTTCGTGAAGTAGCCTACTTCAAAAATTCACTAGAAGAAAATGTTCAAAATTCAAGAGTATTTCGAATAAGTTGTAGCTATAGGATAGTTCTGTACAAAAATAAGATAAAATTTAATGTCTTGTCGTTTTTGATGTGAGGATTTCCACCCCTCTCTGCATTAAAAAAAAAAAAAAAAAAAAAAAAAAAAATTACCATGGACTTTTTTTATCATTATTATTTCTCAATAATACAAAAACTGTTCGGCTGATTTTGATTAAAAAAAAAAAATCACCCACAGGCAATGGGAAGGGGTTGAAATAAAAGGGTGTTTCATCAAAGTCAGCAAGAAAAGTTGAAAATCAAGAGAGACCATGCACTGGCATATTTCCCCCAAAGGTGCCCATACCTACTGTAAAAATTAATTTTAATACATTATGATAAAAGTTTCTATTTTTTCCATAGTCATTCAATGTTAACTATGGTGTTCTTGTTTTGGTAGAACACTGATAGTACAATACATATGTATTGATATATGCATATATACTCAAACATTAATATATATTCCTATTTAAAGTAGAATTTTAAAAATATATAGTCGAAAGGCTCACACCACTTGAAATCTGGTCTGCATTTTCGATTAGTTATAAATTTTCCTATACATAACACCTCTGGTGCCATGTGATGCATTCCAAATATTTAATTTAGTGCATTGGGCATAGTAACTAAAAAATCGCATGTGTTTGAAGTACAATAATGTGCTTGAAATGTGCCAAGAGAAACCTCATTGTTTTGTTTACACAAAGGAAGGAAAGGATATCAAATGGCGAATTGTAAAATATTGATATTCGTACGAAACCAGAATGCTATAAATATCGCTGATTGGTATGAAAGTCAAAAGTGAAGGCAGAGTTCCATCTGTCCAGATCACGAGAAAAGCATCACTCTCCTGGGATTAGTTTTCTCCTTTTCAAATCAAATTGTGTTACATACTTTTTTATGGGATCTGACTTAACCAGAAGCGCATACTAAAGCATTTGTTATTTGAAAGGGGAAAAAAAAAATCCTGATTACATGTACCACCAATAATACGACAGAAAACTCTCAGGTGTTTGAGGATACTGATCGATGGCAGCACAGTTCATAGTGCACACAACAATGCATGGCTGATACGTGCATCATCTGATGAATTAAACTGATATGCTAACTGTTCAGTAAAGGATCACAAGTATTTATACCATTTAATTAACTTGTAATATTTAAAGCTAATGGCTTTACTGGAAGGAGTGTGTAGCAGTTAATATAATTGAGCTACTTTTATATGATTTCCGTCATTGTGTATCTAGCAAAATTAACAATCCCTCCTCGGCCAATGTTTTATTATTAACGTCTTGCCTAGAACCTTCAGATGGGAAAGATAATTAACAACCTTTGCCTTCCCCTTTTGGTTAAATATTTTAACCGACCGACTGAACAACAGCTCAGTTGAAATAGTCTGTGGCCACACATTTATGTTCATAGGTTTTTAACCCACTAACGATGGGTGTCCCACATGAGACACCTATAAAAAATAAACATTGCCAGGCGTCCCACCAGTGGGACTCTGTATCGGGGCTCACGTTCTGATGCAGCGGCGGGCCGCGGCTGGCGGGTGGGTGGAGTCCAGGGCAGCCCCGCCTGCTGGAATCTTTTATTTTTGGCTTCAAAATATACTAGCGTTAATGGGTTAATATAATAGTATGAAAGAAAATCCTTATTATAAATACTGTCATGAAATCATAGAGATTGATATCTTAGTTTAATTGCTTTGCACAAGGTACAACACATAGCACCTGAAATAATAGATAATAAATGCCTTATGTTTAAATTATTAACCCATTTATGAAAATATCCCACATGAGACACCCGGAAAAATACACATTGCCGGGCGTCCTGCCAGTGTGATGTATTGGAGTTCGGGCTCCAAATCTG